TCATATATGACTTGATTACATTTAAATATTTTGCAAACTTGTGGCTGAGAATAATAATCATTTTAAAGCCACGTTTTAAAGAGACAAACAATACTTTTTAGACCTTTTACTCGAAAACTGCATCAGCTATAAAATAGATGAAATTAAGGCCTTCGTACACAGTGCCTGTCAGCAATTATTTGTAAAATAAATGAAGTACCTGAAAGTTACAGAAAAAAAATCACAGAAAAAAATCTCATTAGTAACAATGATATTGAATGTTCACCAAAACTGTCCCTGCATGGTCTTAAAAAAACCCCAGGTACATGTCGCGGTTAATCCTAATGCTAATGTCATGAACTAGGTAGGGTGGTTATTCCTTTTTAACTGAAGAACCTGGGCTAAGTGCAGAGGTTCTTCACCAACGGCCCCAGGAAGACTGGCGGGGGTGTGGGCTGCCACACTGGCAGTAGGAGCAGCCCTGGCAGTCAGTAGGTGGGTCCAGGGATACTACATAGCCTGCGACATGCTGGATAAACTCATGGAATAATCCAGCCCCAAAATGCTCCCCCTACTGAGAGATACTGACCAGGATAAATGGACACTCTCAGACAGCTAATCGTGGCTTTGAAGTAGTTCAATTCAATAACAAAATCCAGGAAATCAAATACAAAAGCTTACCAAATTCTCATGCTAAAATAAGTAGTCTAGACTACCTTCTCAAAATGGCAATATGACAAGAGTAAAAGATGGCAAATGCAAACATTACTGGTACTTTGCCACCTTCTCTACCAAGTCTTCCATGTCTGTCTTGCAATTGCCTCAGTATACTCGCAAAATTTTTTTATTACCTTTACTTACTCCTTCTAAGATGTTATGTAAAAGAATCACCAAGTCCTTCTCCAGTTCCCATTCTACTACCCCATTCTATATCCATTTTACTAACCATATGCATTAACGGTTACATTTGAAGTTTCACTTGGTCTATTCTTTTCCTCCAAGACACCACTGCCCCAATAATCATCCTAAATATCACACTCTCTTCCTGTCAGCATCTTATATAACTGCAGTGATTCCTCAGTAACAGCCAGGTAACCCCAGGTTAACATTCAAGGTGCTCTACCAAATGGCTCCTTATCTCTCCCCCAACTCAATTAGGATCACTATTCCAAGGAGCCTCTTTAGTATTCCTCTAAATTACGATGATAATTCCCTTTTCTCTAATTCTACCCACACTGTTTGCCTAGAATAATTTTCCACTCATTCTTCTCTGCCATTCAGAATCCTTATCTACTAGTGTGTATAAAGGTCACCAAATGCAATTAATTTCCCTGTAATCTAACTCTGTGCAATGTCAGTAAACCACTAAATAATTCTTTAATATCAATTATGTTTATCTGGTTCTAGTCCTTTAGTTAGGACTGGAAACTTTTTGAAGGCAAAAATCACGTTATCGTTTCTTCTGAATACTCACATTTACGAATATAATATAACTACTTGGAATCACAAAACTGTTTCTCAATGAAATCATCATCTAATACAGCACCTTCGATTTAAGTTTAAAAAAAACACCCTAATTCAAGAATATATAATTCTTTACTGACAAGAACCAGAATTCAGGCCACAATCTGTAATTTAATGTTAACACACTTAATTAATGCTTGTTAAATAAACTCCAAGGTATATTACTAGATGCGCATTCATTCTTCAATTAGAACCTTTGTCCCCCTTTTACTTATCCATAAGGGAATAATAGATAATTAGATTGTTATATCCCATTAGTTTTAAAATTTTAAAAAATTTTTAAAATTACAGTTGACATATATTAGTCTCACATGTACAAAATAGCAGTGAGCCATTTATTTTGCTTACAAAGTGATCATCCCAGTAAGTCTAGTACCCATCTGACACCATAGTTATTACAACATTATTGACTGTATTCCCTATTACCCCAACAGTTTGATCTCTAGATTATTCCTAAGATCAAACTGTACATGGCAAAAAAGAGACTGAAAATAATTAAGTTACATCACTACTGAATGACTTATTTAAAATAAGCTTTCCTGCTTCCTATCGATAAGTACTTTCCAACTTCACAGTCTCTCCAGGGGCCAAGAAGGTTGAACATAAAGCATGTTTATAAGTAATATATCAGTCATTTGCTATACATTAATGCAGTAAACCCATAAAATGCATACTGTCTCATTATTAGTTAGATATTACTTAAGGTTCAGATTTTCACCAATTCTTGTCTACAAATAATTGATATCAGATCCAACTTTCTTCATGTTTTTATTTTAACCTCAGACTAGATCAACATAGTTCAGTACCCCCAAATTTGGGGAGACCTTCTATTAGTCAAATTGGATATGCATTTCAAATTCCAATGGCCCAATTCTACTTCTAAATATATCTCCTTATTTCTGCTCAGCAATTAAAGCAAAGCAAACACTTTATCCAGAAGTATATTTCTTCTCTAAAGATACCTTTTAAGACAACTATATTACAGGCTACAAATGTCTAATATAAGAAGAAACCAGTTTCAATAAAGAAAAATATAAAAGAGCAAGGGCCACATGATTAATCTTTAATAATTCTGCATATTACATCAATATGAAGCTATGACATCAGAGACTAAAATTTTAGTTGTCTATCTTTGAAAATAAAGGAGAGAATAACATACCTCAACTCACATATGTATAAATTAGGTAAACATAAAAAGGTCTTAGTCATTTTCTATAAGTCGAAGCCATAATAAATAAAGCTTATAAACTGATCTACACAAACTGAACAGAAGGAATGACTAGGTCGTGTCACTGGTAGACGAACAAATTTACCGCCCTGGAGCGTTCATATAAATCTCAAAAAAGGGAAAATACATATTCCGTAGATAGTTTTCCTGACTTAATCCTAAATACAGTAATATAGGTTCTAAAAAAATAGTCTAATTGTAAAGTATAATTACAAATTTATTTATACCCATACAGTATTTAACTATTTAAAAAATGTGTATAAGCAAAAGTCACATACAAATAATGATCTTGGACAACTGAACCTTGCTTTTATTTGGCAATTAGCATTAGGCCTAACATTTCTAGTCCTCCCTTGTGTCAACTTGCTAATTACTCAAAAGAAGTAGGGGTAAAGGTCCTGTCTAAGAAAAATATGTCTTATAAAATCGGCCTTGCGACTGGTACTCCCTTTATAATTACATTAAATTACAAAAGGGGTACAGTGGCTGTTAAAAGAAAAAGTTATTTACCATGAAAAAATTGAGACTGCATTGAAAAAATTGTAAAAATTCAGCCCATTTAAGAGAAGCGCAAAATAACACTAAAAAAATTTATTTAATTCCACTTTTTTCTTTTAGTCCAGTGATGATATTCTTTTGTTGGGAACAACAAAAAAAATCAGTTTTCAGTTCTAAAGAGCCATCTAGATCCAACAATACACCAATCTTGTCACTACACAGTTTTACTGAACACTCAGTACGTACGCTGACAGAAATTAACTTTATTCCCATCTTCACAAGACTAAAAATAGGAATCCTAAGTGAGAAAGTACTGATCATTTGGTTTAGGAATAAAAATCTCTGAACAATTTAAGCCCAAAATATTTTAGTCTGAACTGTCTAGATGTCTGGGTAAGAGCCCTTTAGATAAACAATTTAGAAATTCCCTGATTTGGATTTGGGCTGGTCAGATGTTATCATTTTAATAGGTATGACTGCATTACTGATATGAATGGGGGACTTAGTAAGAGTTCAATGGCCCATCTGAAAAACCTTTTATGCTCATTTTGAAGACGGCACACTGATATCAAACGAAACTTTAGCATATCCTAATACCATATATAGTACTTCTTAGAAATACTATACTATACTTTGAAGATTTGATAAAAATGTAAGGAAAAAGCAAGGCACATGTTTAACTTAAATGCAGGTTCCCTACCCCCCATCAGGAGCCAGGTGTAAATGGTAAAAAGCTCCCCCCACCCCCACCCACCATTTGTTTGTTTTGACAACCGTAAATGTCTAGTGAATTTTTTCTATTTACTACCACCATATTATATTACTTCAGTAATACATAGAAAGCAGATATCCTACAAATGACCAAACACAGTATTTTCTTTTAAAACTCTTATGTTTAAGTTTAAAAATAGGGTATTTACGTTAAGATGGTTCAATGTCATTGTAAAAGCAAACTAACTTAAAAAAATTTAAGTTCGTTTTTAAAAGAGGAAATGAGACATACTCTCCATTGTTCAGACTAAAAAAATTATCTTAAAGACCGAACAGGAATTTGGAAAATAGGCTATGACAAAACCACTCTAGTTCATGCAGGAAAAGTAATTCTCTATTGAAATACTTCAGAATACTGCTAACCCAACAGTTTGTATACATACGTAACAAATGTAGACTACAAAAGGAAACCATCAAAAACAGTAAACTTATCTATGCGCACTATGCTAAAAAAATGCTCTAACTTCTGGAAATAGCAACCTTTCATAACTAGCTTTATAAAATTAAGACTTTTGTCTTCTATTGATTTTTCTAGATGGACAAGTCAGAAACAGCCAAATTCAACCTCTAATTCATTAGAATAATAGGTCCTAAGTTCAACATCAACCACGAGCAGTTGTTAAAAAACAATTAAAACGTACCCTGTGCTACTGTCTTTAAACCTAGTCTTTAACATAGTCCATTCAATGGACTACTATAGTATAAGCAGATATGTGCCCCTTAGAAATGTCTAGCTCCTAGCAAAGATGATACGTAAAACTTGAGAACTCTATGTGGATATATGTTTACCTACTATAAACTGACAGCCAACAAAGATCATAACAACAGAAAACCTGAAAGTATTTATAATCTAGAGAAAAGCCAATACCACATGATTTCACAATAATATCTACCCGACCATTTCCTTGAAATTGAACAAGAACAACAACTAGTCAACATAACAGCTGGACTGGGGAGAATACAGTAAAAGTTTAAAAAATAAAATTCAGTGGAAGGATACAGCCTTAAAGCACCAGTCTGAGTTCCCACTGCCAGGATCTTCTGTACAGGATCAAAGGCCAGGGCTGAGGGTTGGTAGGGAAATCCATGGCGAACAGTCTAGGCACGGACAAGTGACATCACACCAACCAAGGCAGCAGCAAGCAGCATTTAAAAACAGAAAAGTCAATAAAGGCATTAGAATCTAGAGCCAGTTATAATTGATACAAAACACATATATATGTACTTACCGCTTTAAAAAACCCCATGAAATCTATATTAACAAACAAAACTTATTCGCATAGAACATGAAACAAACAAAATCATCCATCCAAGTATTACTCAGTAATTTCTGCTATTCCATAATACTGTCATTTTATAAAGAAAAATTCTTATATCCTATATTATTATGTCAGACCAAATTACTAAGTTCACAGTCGTCAAAAATTCTGTAAATTCATTTAAAAATGCAATTAATGTATTATTATTTCGAGTGTGATAGCTTCATCAGTTTATTTGGATGCTATCCCAAGTACTTCTAAGGAAAAGCTGTTGTATAAACTAGCCAAGTATCCAGTAAAGCAAATTCTCAAACATTTATTCCAATGTTTTGCAATTACAACAGAGTAAGTACAACACATTTTTGCATTTTGCTACGAAATTCGTAATCATTTTTGGGCATTCGAGCAAAAAAAGTGTTACCTACACACTTTTAAGAAACCCTAACACATGAAAGCAAGGTATTTATGAGGAAGGCAGGTATTATTAATACGAAGTTTGCATTTCTCGTGGAGCAGCTGCTGATTTAATTCGCTGCATCATTCTTTCTGAGTTACATACCGCTATGGCAACTGTCGTGCCACTAACAGGCAAAAATCACATTACTAACTTTTAAACCAAAGGTAAGAGGGCCCTGAGATTTCCTATGTTAAAGCCTCCTACCACATTCTAAAAGAAAAAGTAACGAGCAAATATCTCGTTGAACAGGTTTGGCTTTTTGATAAACATTTATTAGACACTGTTTCCAAGGGAAACTTCGAAGTTGGTGAATTACACTAAAAGCTGTAAGATCATTAACGAAGAATACGAATCAAAGATCAACAGAAATTGGAAGTAAACCTGAATGAGTGCTATATATGAAGGGGGGGAGGGAAATCAACCACAAGGTGTAAGATGATGTCAATCTCCAAAATAACCCACCAAGCAAATGTTTGCTAGAGGAGGAGCGAGCCCTTTATTCGCGATATGGCTATTATTGGCGCTCTATTCCCTGGGACTCCCCCGTGAAGCCCGAGCGGTCCCCGTAAAACGACCCCAAATTTCGCGGGCTGCACGCTCCGCTCACCTTGCAGAGCTGAAAGTGCTCGGACTGGAGCGTTTCCTGGATCTCGGGCTCCCGGTTCCCAGACGGATGCTGCTGCGGCTGCTGCTGCTGCGAGGCCGAGGACGAGCCGGCGGTCAGGCCGTCCAGCACCTTCCTGATGTTGAATTTCCTCATGGTCTCGGCGGGGCTCCCTCGCTTGCCGAGAGGGGCGGCGAGCGGAGTCCGCGAGCGGGAGGACCGAGCCCGGGCCGAGGGCAGCTTCGGCGGTGGAGTGGGGGTGAGTGGGAGTGTGAGGGGAAGGAGGCAGCTGGGGAGAAGCAGAAGGCAGTCCAAACAGGAAATACTGCGACGACGAGAGAGCGGCGGCCACCTGAACCCCGGGCGGCGACCCCTCTTCCTCCGAGGCCGCCGCTTCAGCCGCCGCCGCCGCCGCCTCGCTCCGCAGCCCGGCGGCACAGCAGTGGCGGCGGCGCCCAGAGCCCGCTCTGCCCAGCCTCACCTGGCCGCGGGCTGACTCTGCGCCGCGCCGCCGCCCCGGCTCGCCCCCGCCGCCGCCGCCACCGCCGCGTCCATGGCGGGTGGCCCCGCCGCTCTTCGCCCGCCCCGACCCCGCTGTCCCTCGGTGCTTCCTCCCGTTCCTGCGGCTCCTCCTGCTCCCCGGAGTCGCTGGCTCCGCGTCCGCGGCCCGCTGCTCAGCGCCGCTGCCCGCCTGGCATCGCACGTAAGGCGCCCGGGGTGGGTGCCCGCGCTCTCCGCTCCACTCGCCCGCCGCTGGACTCACCCGCCCTCGCTCCTTCAGAGCACCGGCTGCCTTCCTCTGGCGCCGGCGCCGCCCGCGGTCCCGCCCGTCCGCTCCCCCTCGTCCGAGTCGGAGCTTCGGCACACGGCACCAACGCCCGCCCCGAACAGCAGCAGAGGCAGCCGCGGTTACAGCGCCCGCCGCGGTGGTGGCGGCAGCTGGGCCTCCTTGGAGCGGAGCTGCTGAGCATGCGCACGCCCACTGCAAACCCCCTGTCCCCCTCCTCCGCGGGAGTGGAGTTGGGGCTTAAATTATCGTTTGCGAAAATCCCAGACCACGGCTAAATTTCTCCCACCCCAGCCGCCCTGCTGGAGTATAAGCAGCTGCTGCTCCTGCAGCTGGGATAGTAAAAATGTTGACGGCTAGCAAACAGCAGAAACATTTATTTCTAATTCGGTTTTTAAAGTGGAGGTTTATGCTCTCACCCTTTAAAGAGGTACACACTCCCGGCTGCTGGCTGCGGTTTTATTGTTGCTGCTTTGTTGATGAGCTTTGTTTTGGATTGATTTGGATTTGGTATTTGAAAAACTGCGTCTTGACAGCGACTATGTCTGTGGCAAGAGGATGGCAAACAGAAAGGTACTAGAAAAAGAGATAAACCTAGATGGGGAAAATGAATTCTTTCCTAAAACTGTTGGTAGGATTAAAGTGTGGCCACGGTAGGTAGCTGCTAGAATGGAATAGGCTACCGAAGGAGAACCACTCCAGGGCTGGGCGTCTGCCGCGACCAGTGACACGCCACCCCTGGATTCTGTCTGCACGCTACAGTGGGTGTGGATGGGGGCGGGAGCGAGGGTGCCAGTAAACACCGGGCTGTCACTCATTTCAGAACCTTCAATCCTACTCTAACGCTGGTTATTCATTAAGTAATCTACAGCAGTTTCTCCACTCTCGCTAGGAAAAGAAAGGAAAAAGTGAAGATTTTGCTCAGATCTTTCTCTGCTTCCCCGAACAACCTCGCTTGGATGCTTGGAGAAAAATGTCTGGCTCAAGTTTGAAAAGGTAGAGAGATTCAAACTGCAGGTACCCTCCCGGAGAGAGCTCTCAACAAGGAAAGGTGGATGAGAAGAATAGGTATTTGATTAGGAAGAATGTGGAAAAATTGGAAACTAGGGAAAACGTATGGAGTGATAAAAAATAATAAACACCAATTTTAACTTGTGGGTTTGGTTAGGAGGAAGGACATTCTACCAGATTACTGATTTATCGCCCCTGAAGGTCCTGCGAGGAGCCACAGTAGAGCTTGCTCAGGGTTTTCTAAATCCAATTCAGAAGTGCCCGCCCTCTTCCTTATGATTGGCCACCTTCTCCCCAGGTTAGGTAAATTCTCGTCATACTATTGGTAGACTTGACAGGCCCTCAACAACAACCTGCAAACCAACAACGACTCGGGCTAAGGCATTTCGGGAAATGTAGTTTCCTGTGGGGCTTCCGCATCTAAGGAGGATGTCTCATCCTTGGAAACTATAAAAATTTTATTGCGTTTTAATATTTATTGAATTGTTCAGTTAACTCACTTGGGTGCAACAAAGAATAAATTTAGAATTTTCTTAAACTATTTCCAAGTGGCTCTGAAATTTTTGTTTACTAATTTAGTGCGCTGAATCATTTTACTGAGCATGAGACCTTGTGCTAGGTACTGAAGATGCAGAAGTGCAGTTCGTGCTTTCAACAAGCTCACCACAGCCTAGAAGGGGGGAAACCTCACATAAATAAGTAATTTTAAAACAAACTGTGATGAGTTCATTGATGGAAGAATGCATGAGGAGGACTGAAGAGGGTAATTTAACCGGCCAGAGAAGTCCCGAAAATGATACGTTTACCACAGTTGAGTCCAGAGTAGCAGCTGACCAGGTGAAGAGGAGGGAGAGCGTTGGAAGGCAGGTGGGAAAGAAATCAGAAGTACCTAGAGAGTGTTTTTTAAAATACTAATACCTCCATAGGGGTGAATTGCAAAACAGAGATCACTTCCCATGCAGATTTTATCCACTTTTTCATCTAGGTTGAAAATCAATCTGTTGGGTTGTTTGTCATCATTGGATTATAAAACTTTTTGGAGAAGGGACAGCTTCGTGCTGAGAGGCCTTGTGGTGGTGTAGTGGAAAAAGCCAGGCCTCTGTTGTCTGCCAGACATGAATTTCAATTCAAGCCGTGGTAATATGTGCAATCTTGGGTGAATTCCTTACTTTTCCTAAGGGCTGGGTTCCTCATGTAAAATAAGATTAATATTATCTTCTGCCTAGGGTTTTGTGAGGATACACTGGGAAAAATGTGAAGTATGAACTACATTGGTTAGCACTCTGTAGATACCTAAGAATGGCCGTTTTTCCATTATACTATCAGGATACTTGAGGTGACAGGGACTTCAAGAATTTAAGGCAGTTCTCCATTGTTGACTTCATAGTTATTGTTTTGATCTCCACACCTCAATCCCTCTCATCAAATATGAATTCATCCTACATTCCCAAAACTTTTGTTCATAGAGGATACACAGAATTTAAGATGAGCTCAGAGCATGTCTACTAATGTAACTTTGTGAACTTTCAGTCTATTCTCTCCAAGCTCAAGGAGACTGGATATATTCAGAATTCTATTGGGGGGGGGGAGCCTTACAATATCTAATTTTAGGATAGCAAAGATGAAATAATGGACCCTAAAATTTATGATATTTCTTATGTCAGTTTCAATTGATCAACTGATTTTTTAATTGAGATAAATTTTAAGAATTTAAATTCATATTAATTAGAAATTTTAAGTTTAGAATAAAATTACTAAAAATGTAACAATTTATAATATTTAGTTAAAAATTGAGCATACAGCATAGAGTTTTACCCATAATAATCTCTCAACAAAGTTTTGTTTTATGTGTGTATATTTGTTCTGTTTAATAAATGAATCAGTGTGTTCATTCCAAGCAACTCAATAGTCTTCTGCCTTTGGGTACATGACATTCTCCCAAATGTAATTCTTTTTTACTTACTTTTTGAAGAATGGCTCAGGAGATGGTGATGTAAAATATATACCACTGACAAATTATAGATATCTATATTACATTTACCTCTAAAGAATACTCAGTGGACACAATGAAAATTAAAAGGCAAAAAATAAAAACAATCAACATACAAAAAGAAAAGCAGCTCACTAAATTATTTGCCATTGGAGGGCTGAAGACCCAAAACAGAGGATTCATAACATTTCTGAATCTGCCAACCCTCGTTATCTCATTTAAAGGCTACCAGGCTAACTAAGGTTCTGTTATTGGTCTCACAGGGGCAGCTGGATGCTGATTGAGGGGAATAAAGGAGAAAACGAAAATACAAAGTTTTGTGAGAAATTGTATCATTAACAAAAACCTCTCTGGAAGGTAGACCAAATTTATCTCACCTGTTAGCATTCATTTATACAGTATTAACTGCAGGTTATTGAATCCCAAAGGATGTATTCATGACAATAATTGATTCATTACACCATTTAACAGAATATTGAATTTAAATGGTAAATTGCCACAGAGATATTAATTAGTTTGCTTATTTCAGGCGCCTTTTCTAAATGAATCTCCTAGGTCCTACTGGTGACCATGCGTCCTGTACCAAACTGACTGGATCAGAAGCAGACCCCTGAAGTAAGCCAAGGCAATAGATCATCTGGGAATTTGGAATTGAATCCTAATGGTGATAATTTGTCTAAACCAAGAAGTTATGCAGAACTGGGACTGAAGCAGTGAGTGCCCATACTTAGATGGGACACAGGAGAGTGGAGCAGACACGAATTACAAGGAAGTGATTCTAAGGAGGCGAAGAGTAGAGTCTTCATCCCTGTTCTCCAGATCCCAGTTTCTATTCCATGTGAAAACTGGCTACACTTTCTTTCCTTCTTTGTGCAAACAAGTTTCAATGGGGTTCTTGTTCTTCCAATCAGATATTCTTACAAATTTAGACACAACCTGCCCCAGAATGCAAAGAAATGTAGAGGTTTTTGTAGCCATCTTTTATTGCCCTATTTATCTTCCACTCGCAGTTCTCCCCCAATGTTGACAGGCTACTGAAATAGTCTAGTACGGAATTTGTGGTTTAGCCTGGAGTGGTTCAAAGTAATTGCTGCGGTGAGAAAGGGTCAGATTCTCAATTAGGTTTTAATGGTAAAGTCAAAAGGATTGCTGACAGTGTGGGGCGAATGAGAGAAAGAGGCAAGGACGATGCCTCCGTTTTTGGTGTGAGCACTTTGAAGGGTGGTGTTGCCATTTACTTATCACATTTGTGACTCGTGGATAATATCCAGTTACCATTTGCACAAGAGTGGACTTGACAAATGTCATCAGCTAAATAAACCAGCCTGGCCAGGGAGCAAGCAGGGTCCACTACGTTGCGATCATCTTTGTCAAGCTCCGGCCTTTCTAGACAAACAGATGAGGCAGATATTAGTGAGCTTCATTACTCTGCAGATTATATCTGTCACTATTTAATAGA